ATAAATTGCTCATTATATCTCGGGAAATATTTTCAGATTGATATGTCTATGAAAATTTTAAAAGAAAAATGTCAATTTGTTTCATATCGATGCCTTTTTTTTCTTTGCAGTTTTATAAAATAAAATCGTTGATTTGTTTGTTTGAATACATATCGATGATATGATTAGACATAAGCAAACAAGTTTTATTTTTTATTTTATTGAATAATTATTAATAAATAATTGATCTAACACTTGTTGTTTCACTTGTTTTAACGCTAGATGTTGTTAAACGTGAATGACATCGACATGGATGATATCGAAACATTTTTAATGCATGGTCTGTTAATACACTACATTCAACGACAATCAAATGACCTTCATTACTAATACATAAATCTTGTGGATAGTTAACATTATCAGATCGTTTTAATAAAATTTCAACATTATCTTCATCTAAATCATGTTCTAATGAATAAATAATTGAATTAAGTGAATCACCAATAATTATTTGTTGATTACGAGAATCAAATGTAAGACAAGATATATGAAGAAATGGTTTACGATCAAGTTTAATAGAACGAAGATATTGACCAGTTATTGTTAATTGATGAATAATACTTGATTTTGCAATTGGATTGCTAATGAAAATAAAACTATTTTCTGGATCCATACATAAACAATAAGCTATTTCACTTGAATCTAAAATAGATTGAATTCGATTAAGATATATCAAAAAATTTGATTGGTTTTTTTATTTGTTTGTCAAAATTATTTGTATTACTTTGTATTGATGATATGTTTTTGAGATTAATATTTGCTACTTTAGTTCTTTGATTTGTTAAGAAAGTAATAATAAAACATTTTTCACATGATACAGCAAAATGTCGTTTACTTGTTGCAATGAAATAAGGTTTTTCTTTTGTAACTAAACAATGTTTATGTAAAAATTGTCCATTATACCCGATGGAAAAAAATTTTATTCGTCTATTATTTGTATCAGCTACGAGAACATTTGATGATGATGAATTATCAATTAATTCAGCAATACTCCATGGTGAATCAAATTCATAGAGACCATTACCTCGTTTTCCACCACAAGTTGAACGAAGAATTAATTTTGATGTAAAAAGAAGAAGACGACATCGATCTTGTTCACATATTATTAATGATCCATCTTTTTCAGATAAACAACATATTGAACGAGGCCAATTTATATTTGAAGTATACGATGCAAGTAATTTGGGATTTCTATATTTTGAAAAAAAATTATTCAATTTATCTTTATATATATATATATATATTGATAAATATATTCTACCTATCATTTGTAGATGTTTTAGAAGTTTTATTAAAGAAATCAATAGCTGAATAAAGACCATCATAAAGTTTTTCAATAAAAATATTCTCATTATTAAATATTTTTAATTGTTTTGATTGTGAACGACAATTGTGTCCTGTTAATAATTCTTTTTTTTTGAAATATTTTTCTTTTTAATATTTAAATAAAAATTTACTTTTATTTAATGCAACAGAATAAGGTAATGAAGAATCAACACTAATACGTCGACATCGAATATCAACTGGTCGATAACCACCTGGATACAAACGATCTTGACTTGCCCAATCAACCATTTTTACTTTCTCATTATACACACACAACAAAAACTCAATTGAAAGAATTTTTGAAGAAAACGTACACACACACAACTACTCAAATGTGTTTTTATTATTATTTGACATTGACATGTGTAAGAAACGAAATAATGGCAACCAACAGTAGTTAAGGATCACATTTCTTTTGTTAAGTGGAATAAGAAACAGAAACTTGTTTAAATGTTCTTTTAAGGACATTGAATGATTTATATTTGATTTGGATAAGAAAAAAAAACATACAATCGATTGTTTCATCTAAATTTTAATTTTGATCTTTATCAAAATGAATATAACGAAAAATGAATTTTATTTTTTCAATTTGAAAAATATTTTTTTTTAAATTGCATTTCAACATTAAAATCAACTATTGTTTGAAGTCTTATCATAAATTCAATTCTGTTTTTTTTTATTAATCAGACTCGACATATTTCATAAGGTAACAGTTTGGTTTCATCAATTATATTTTAATATGTTTTCGATTAAACAAGTTCTAGATAACTTGAAAATCTTTCTCAAAATTTCAGTGGTTAGAATACACTTGCAAATATTCTAAATAGTGCACTTTTTCATTTTTAATCAGATAAAAATTTATATTTAAGATGTTAACAATGATGAGATAGTGATGCACCGATTCGCCATAGTCGTCATAAAAAATATGAACTGATCAAGTTCGAATTTGAGAAAATAAACAATATGAGTGTTTGTTAGGCTATCGAGATATGTATAGTAATACGTTGAGATCTGATGTAGAATATAGTGAATATGTACAACAGAGTTATTTGACAATTAAATCAATGATTAGAATAAGAAAAATGAAAAATAGAATAAATTTCTATTTGAAATGTAGAAATAAATATGACGAATCGCTTCTCTTCTAGCGATCAATTATCTTGGAAAACAACTGTAGTCTACAACACGTTTTTGACTTGACGTATTTTGCACTAGTGTAATGAGGCTAAACAACATATGTGGGTTGTATATTTGAGTTCCAAAGGGGCTGTACTAACACGCTTTTTCGTAGATAACACTGACGTTGTTGTCATATTAAATGTTTTTTTTATCTTTATTATGAGTGTTATCGTCAACTGGCTATTTAATGATGACAGAAATAATCTTTAAATATTGATAATGATAACTTTTTAACCTTGCGTATATCATCGTACGTTTATATGACATTATAACGAGAAGAAGAAGAAGATCTATATAAAGAAGAAAAAATTTAATTATCAAAGAATAATATTAGTAATAGTTGAACAATAGATTCATTTTCAAGAATATCAACTATTATTTAATTAGAAAGATTTTTTTCGACTTTATATTTATCAATAAAATAGTGTCAAAGATGATATTCTATCTTATTATTTATATTGAAGATGATGTTACGAAATGATCATGCTCAATAATAATGGAAGATACAGTAATTTTTATATGTGTTATACTTTAATTCATATATCATGGAATAAAACTATACAAATGAAGAACGGATGAGAATATGTGTCAGCTGTAATGAGAAAAATCATTATTTGTCAATGATAGATATTTACGTTAATTCAACTTGAATCGTATTTATCATTCTATCAAAAAAACTGTCATAACTTTATTCAATTGATCAAACAATATTAAAAATAATAATAAAATTATAAATTAAAAAATTCGTTGTTTTGATAAAACATAAAATTTTGTTTTAAAATAGACCTCTTATGAGACAATAATCATTTTAATTTAAAATCTTATTCGTTTATTTAATATAATAATAGACAATAATTGTTTTGAATATATTTTAAAAATTTCCTTGGTATTGAAACGAAATTTATTTTGTATAGTAGTTTACTTTTATTATAGTGAAAGGTCATAATGACGACACTCGTGTCTAGTGCATTATATTAATTCAATGAACACGTGCAGAAAAACGTGCCAGTATTATCAAGATTATATATCTCCTTACATATATACCGTATCGATAGGCCAAAATTCTCATTTGAATAAACGATCTATCTCGAAGAAAATTTAGAATTTATTTTTCTTGTTTTTTTTTTTGTGTTTTGTGAATAATAAAAATCATTAAAAAATGAATTCAAAATCATCAATAACAGCAACAATATTAAAAGATCATGATGCTGTGAAAAATGCTTATGAGGTTTGTTTTATTAATTATTTATTAATAAGATGAAAATATTTTTCTTTGATAATAATAGAAATATTTATCATCAAAAGGTAATATGGTTGAACGAGAACATTGGGCTAACTATTTTCGATGGGAACTTACTCGACATACTATTGCTGAAGAACTTTTTCTTTATCCAGCTTTTGAAAAATATTTAGGTGATGAAGGAAAATATATGGCTGATCAAGATCGTGAAGATCATCAACAAGTATTGTTTTTTTTTTCATTATCATTATATAGTTTTTCAATTTTTTTTGTTACAAAAAATAGGTTAAAAATTTGTTACATGTACTTGAAGCTTCGTCCGTAGCAGATTCACATTATCCTTCAACATTTGAAAAACTTATGTCGAATTTAATAGAACATATTCAAAGGTTTAGACATAAGAATTAATCGAAAAAAAGAAAAAACATCTCTTTAATTAATTTTAGTGAAGAAGAAAATGATTTACCAAAATTTGAAAAATCAATAACACCAGATATAAGTGCTTCATTAGTTCGACAATTTGAATTAACTAAAATGCTTGTTCCTACACAGTAAATTATTTCTTTTTATCGTCTTATCTATTTATTGCTTATTTTATTTATAGATCTCATTTGAATGCAAATCATAAAGTCCCATTTGGAACAGTAGGCGAACTTATGGGTGCTCCAATCGAAAAACTTCGTTATTTCATCGAACAATATTCTCAAACAAACTGACTGAACTCTTTATAATATTATGTATATTCATGTTTAGAACTTTCATTTACTTGTTTAGTTATATTACATGTATATTAATAAACTAGCATTCATATTGACAAGTCGACAAAATTAGCATTGTTTCATATATATACAAACTAAATTGCTTTTTCACGCTTCATTTATTCATCCTCACTCAATTGTAGAGATGTTATTGTGTTTTTTACGACGATTCTAAATGAGTTTCTATTTAAATATTAGTTTATGATAAATATCTTGTTTTGATTAATTATGATAGATAAAAAGATAAATATTCGATAGATATACTGTTAATGTTTCTTTTCATGTAAAGAAATTCCATAGATGATAACGTCAAAGAATAATATTTGCCTGGTGAGATTTATTTAAATCTATGCGTATTCTATATTTCATTGAAATAAATTGATTGTTAAGATGAATGTTCGTGTCTATGCAACTGGATTGATTAGAAATCTATTCATTCATATTGAAATTGATCAGTGCTTTTCTTTAACAATGAAAAATGAATAATAGAACTTCTCTTTTGTTTGGTAAATAATAAATTCAAAAAAAAAAAAGAATTTCTGGTACAAACACCCAATGTAGTAATGTCTGTTTTTTGTGACCTTTTCATTGATAAACAAATGTTTCCAAAGATATGATGACGTTAAAAATTATTATCTGACAATAAAAACCAGTCAATAAATATTATTCCTTTAGAATAATTGCCAAAAAGTTAACTGATACTATTAACGAAGCTAATCAGGAACAAAAAAGGATCGTCGATCGTTTAAAGACTGATGAATAATTTATTCACATCTGACTTTTTTTTAGATAAGATTTTTCTGTTAAAGTGCATAAAGAGAAAACGAGTCAGATTAAGTCAATGTGGATGTGTACGCTGGTGGTGCGTTTATTAATTTCCATAATTGTTAATACATTTTAATCCATATTTCTTGCACGTATGCACCTAAAGGCAGAGCAACATTCTAGTAGATAACATTTTATTTCTAATTAAGGAAACTTTTGATTCAAAGAAAAGTCATAGATTAATCTTTTATTCTTTTTCTTTATAAAAAAAACTTCTCACTAAAATTAATTAATACTATCTCATCGAATATATTATTATTCATTAATTTTTAAAAAAAACTTGTTATTCTTTTGATCCTAGAATCAATCAGCAATATAAATGTTATCATGTACTGGAAATCATAAACAAATATTTTGATTCAATCATTATATTTACTCAAAAAAGAAAACAACAACAACAACAACAACAATAGAAATATATTTGAATATTAGAAGGTTTTGACATTTGTGATATTAAAAAGTATAATATAAAATAAAGAGAATAAAATTTTAGATGAAAAGTTTATTGTACTGTGTGTGATCTAAGTTTAGTTTGATGTATTATATAATTAGGTGATGATGATTTTTGTTTATTAAGTTTTTGTTTGTATTCAAGAGAATTTTGTTGTTGATGTAAACGTAAAGCTTCAACAATATGTCGTGCTTCTTGATCTTTTTTATTAAATTTAATATTTATTTGTTTGCAACAACAACATGATAAATATGCATATAAAACCGTTCGATATCTTTTTGACATAAAATAATAAGTAAATGGATTACATAATAATGATGCAAATGAAAAAAGAAGAATTAAATCAAATAAAATAGTTGGCATTGAACGATAAAATTTTTTATCAAATGTACCAAATGTATGATAAATAAATAATGGTGTCCAACAAATAAAAAATTCAACAATAATAACAATTAAAAGTTTAAGTGCTTTACGACGATGACGATCCATATGATAAGTTCCTTGATTTGTTGATGAACGATAACTTTTATTACTACTTCTACATGAATGATTTGAATTATAAAAAATTTTTGAAGGTTTTCTTTCTTTTGATATTGGATTAGAAAATGAATTTGTTAAAGGATTTTTTTTATTATGATTTACATTTTTTGGCCATGAAGATGTTATTTGATAATCATCATCATTTAAACCTGATTTTGATCTTGAACTACTTTGTTGAGATGATATACGTCCAACTATTTCAAATTTTGATATATCATTATTTGATTTTTGTCCATTAGAATTATATTGATGATAATCTAAGGACATACGTTGACGTTGACGAGAATTATTACCACGAAGACTTGAAGAATTTGATGAATTTGATAGAGTTTTACTTGAATAATTATCTAAATCCAAAGACAAATTATTATTATTTTACTTTTTTTTAGTTTTTATTAAAAAATAAATTTACATTGTGAAAATCTCATTCTGGTTGCCGTATTATTTTTATATATTTTACAAATAATTAATGTATATAGAACAAGCATGACAAGCATTGGAATCAAAAAATAAAAAACTATAAGAGAAAAAAAAACAAGAATTTATTTTTAATTAATTTTTTAAAAAAAATTTTTTTACCATCCAAGGCAACCATATAAATTCTTTCATCAAAATATTGTGGTTTTACTTTTTCACATTTGAATCTTCCGAGTTTAGGTAAAGAACATAAATTATACATTGAAATATTTGGTAAAGCCGTTAAAAGGCCTAATGACCATATTAAAAATAGAATCAGACCATTCAGAAAATTAGCAAATCGAAGAGATTGAAGTTTAAGAATTAATAATGGACGACATATTGCTATGTAACGTTCTACACTTATGCAAACAAGAGTAAAGACATCAACAGCAACACTTAAACCTAAAACGTAAATCATTATTCAATTGATTTGATTTTCAAGATTATTTATTTATGAAACATGACATTTTTATATCAAATCTATAAAATATCTCATGTGTCAATAATTAAGTAGCCATATTTTCTAAAAATATCTGTGAGAAAAAAAAACATTTTTCTTTATTCTATTTAAAAGGAAAAATTTTTCAATAGAAGAAAATACTAAATTAATGTGTTTTTTTTATGAGATAAAATCCTTTGACTACAATGCAAAATTTATACATTTATTCCATTCATTTTCTTAGTTTTTGTGCTATATGAGAATTTTTCCATATATTATATGTCATGAAACACGAGTACATCAGATCTCATTTCTCAGAATTAAAAACATGTTTTTTTTTTATTAGAAGAAAAAAGATTCATATCATAATAATAGACTTTTCCTGATATTATTCCATTAAATTCATGTCTCCGTCTGTTAATAAGATTTGAAAAATTTTTTTTTGGAATTTTTGAATAGGAAAATTAGTGTCGAAAGAATATGTTGATTTTCTCATAGAAAATCATTCTGATGATGAATAACATCAAACTATTTTTATCGAGTTATTTAAAAGAAAATCATATGGATATTTTTAATTTTAATCAGCTATTCGAAGTGTAAATAAATCAAAAAACAATATGAAAAATATCAAATAATTATCCAATTCATTCTATATAAAACATTACAATGAAGTATTTTACTTCTTTTATATTTGTTTGATAAAACTGAGAAGATTTTCTTTCGACGTAATTATGATCGTCATATTAAAAGAGATAAATTTCCCTTGCGTGCTTTTGATCTTATTAATCTATATGATATTTTATGGTTCAGTTATTGTCCTTAAACTACTGAGACAAAAGATTTTCACTTTCACTTTTCATTTTCCGTATGATAAAAAAAATTTTTTTTTCTTTTTGTTAACCTAATTATCTCAAAAGAAATGAACATAGTAATTTAGAAAAAGAAAAAGCTTTTAACCTTATTTTGTCATACATCAATTTCGTAAACTGATCACACATCATAATGAATTTCTAATTCAGCCATTTATCAAATAAAAATAGTAGAGAAAAAATGATTATTTTGGTAATTAGATAGACTAACAAACAATGGGATATGCAAATATAGATACTAGAAATAACATCAAACTATCAGCAGTTCCTTTTGCAGTAGATATTATCTTATCGAACAAAAACATTTATTACTCATCATTTTATTCCTATATATTATTTTTCGACATTTTTCTCTCGTTTTTTTAATAGACTTCTTTTTTTTTTTAAATTTCAATTGCAAATATAAATGTTTGAATAAATAATACGTTTTATTTTAATAAAAAAGGATTAATCTTAAGTATATTCTATCTTGACTCTTTATGTCAAGTTTCAACGTTTTTATTAAATAAAAACAATCATAGAATAAAATAAACACTCATATTTTATATGAAAAAAAAAGGTACTTCAACCAAATTACAATATATAGAACAAGTTATTCTGACATACTTTTATAACGGTATATTTATTCCATCGGTTCTTTATCTTATTTCGTCGTTTTTAATAAAAAAAAAACAAAGGAAATTATTAACTCACTTACATCAAGTATCGTTTCATATTTTTACCTTTTATTTTCGATATAAGAAAACAAAAGAAAAATATGTTTCTATATAAGGAAACATCCTAATTAAATATTTACAGAGATAAAGCCACAAAATTACCTTGAATAATTGGTAAAATTTTACAAATAAGTGGTCCAAAGACAAAATTTCGTTTGACTCTTGCAATAATAGTAAACGGCATAAAACATGCACGTAATAAATCAGCGCATGCTAAATTAACTAAATATTTATTATTTGTTAATTTGATTGGTCCTCGAGAACCAAACATAACAAAAAGTGCAGCAGTATTTCCAAGTACGGCGAGGACAAAGATAATTAATGATATACTATTTATAATCCATTCACCATCGCTTATATGTGAACTACGTGAAGAATTTGAAGAAGATATTGATATATTTAATAATATATACGAAGAATTTCGTTGTGTAAATGCTCGACACGATGATACGAACATGATTTGTTTTTTTATTTGTACATTATTACGAAGAATTTTTCTCTAAAACAAAATTAAATTTCACATTTTATAAGAACGAGTCAATTACAAAAGAAAAAAAGAAAAGGAGTAAAAGAAAAGGAAAAACAAAAGATTTTTTTCTTATTCTCTGTCGTATTTCTCCCTATGTCTTTCTCTGTCTTATTAGTGTCTGCGTTACTATTGAGTATGTGTTCTGTATCTACTGACGAAAATAAATCTATATTTCTTTTATTAGTCACAAGTTATAGAGGACAAGAAAAAAGAAAGAAATATTTTATGTCGATAAATATGAAATTCGATTCTCATTGTTTTATATTTCATTTTCATTTAGTTTAAAAAAACCTGCGACGAACACGCACAATAAATAAATATTTAACACAACTTATCATATATTTTCTTTAGAAAAAAAGAAAAAGATTTTTACTTGTTGACTTTCGGAAACCCTTTTTTTTTGGTCTTTTTCTTTTTGATCGAATATACTTAACATAATAGAATTAAAGGAATTTTTTTTCCGATAAAAAAAGAAAAAAAGAATTTTATTGATATGGGAATCTTCTCAGACAAATCAATAATTAATTGTCTCTTAAATATATATTTTTTTTTGTATCTTAAATATGTAAACTTAATTCAATATGAGAGTTTATTCTACATAGATCAATCAATCTTTTCATCAAGAAAAAAATAAACAAAACAGGTTCACTTTTATTTTAATATAAAACAAAATCTTAATCAATCATATCGTGATTCATTATATTATTATTATACCAAAATAATTTTTATTATCACAAACGATCATGACAGAATCTATTTATTTATTATCATCTATAATAAAAAGAAAATCTTTATCTTTTTAAGAAAAAAAAAATCCTACTTTATCAACATCTCTATCTCTCTATTCATGCAATAAATGATTCGTTATGTAATTCTAATCAAACGACTGTCGCTCGGGACAAATTATACTCATTTTATTTATGGAATTTTTTAGTTATGTGCATTTTTAGATTTTAATCCTATTGTCAACTTTTTTCTCTTTTTCTTCAAATAAATCACACAATTAAACAAACTTTTAATTGAAATAAACATCTAGACGATCAGATTCATAAAAGTTTTCTATAAGAAAGAAATACTAGAGTTTTACCAAAATAGGTTGCATGTTAAAAATCCAGACATCAAAAAATATTTATATACGTCTGCTCGTTCGAGAAAAAGAAGAATCTATGGTTACAATTTGCACTGTTAACTAAAAGAAAAAGCCCTTAGAAGAGTATAGGAAGTGCATGTTTGTATTCTATTTGTACGCGAAATTAAAGAAAAAAAAACAGAAGAAAAATATTTGATTGATGAGGAAGAATGGTAGACATTATATGAAACTAAAACTTCTTCAAATAGTATTTTAAAATACTAATATTAAATTTGATATTTATTTCATGTTTTTGATTTTTATAGACATTGACAAGAATCAACCATATGGAAGAATGTCGATCATTTTTTCATCAAATAAACTTCGCAAAAAAAAAACAAACTTTATACTACATATTATTCTTTTCTATGAAATCAATAATGAAAATAAGATAAAAGAAAAAGGAAAAGATTTTATTTATCAATTCTATATGACATTTATTTAAACGTAAACAAATATTATTAGTTATAGATCATTGACATATTCTAATTATTGCTTTATAAGACACACCAAAATGATTTACATTTTAATATAGAATAGATGTTAATTATGCTTTATGTCATCTGAGAAGTATCATTTTGTTATGCTAGAATAAATTTGTGGCTTTCATTAGTAGAACAATGAGTCGACCGAATCCTATAAATATAATAGGAATTTCTTCTTACTTCAAATGAGTGTCAGTTAGGCATGAACTTCCTTTTGGTTAACTATAAGATGATCAAGTAAATATTATATATCAATACCTTATTTCTGTCAATTAACTATGATTAGAATATTTTCTTTATATCTGTCTAATCAAGATCAAAATACAGATTAAAAGAAAAAGTCATAATAATAAATTCGTCATGCTTGTCTCTTTCAATAAAAATTTTTTTAGTAGATTTTATAGAACATTTCATGTTTTTTATTAATGATGAGAAAAACTATTTATTTTATTTTATTTTTTAAAGTTCTTATTCAAAATGAATTAATGTTTAAATGAATAAATGATAAAGAATAAATTAAATATAGTAAGATAAAGTATAATATCTATTTGTAGATTTAATCAAATATTGTCAAAAAAAAAAATATTCTGCTTTCAAGCAATGCATCATGATGATGAGTTGTTATATCGAGAAAAAAAAAGTAGTCTTTATATTTTCTTTCGTGACTTTTCCTTCATTTTTAGATATTACCTTGACAGTTTAGTTAAAAATAATAATGCTAAATATTCATAGCTCAGAGAATAAAAATGCATGGATTATACTACTTTTACACAAATATATAGAATAAAAAAAAAGGCAGTCTGAAATAGAAGACGTTTTGTGCAAACAAATCATTAATAAGTTTTTATCTATATTTTGGTTAAATACTGGAAAGAATTGAATCAATGAATCGAATAAAAAAATGACTAGACACAAAGGAAACAACATTCATCATCATTTATTGATATAAAGTATTTATCAAGAATGTTCATCAAATCTTCCATTAGTTTTCCATTATTTTTTCTTGTAAAGAAAAGTACATCAAAGAGTTTCTTGAAGAAATTTTTTTTTTTTCTTTTGTATTTGAGAATGATTCTATTAATACTACCTGAACTTTCTCTTTAGTACAAGTCACATTACCCTAAAGTAAAATAATTTTTCGATACTTATTCTTTCGAGTTTTTTTTCAAAGGATAATAAACGACATGAATGTAAAAAGAAAACGGAAATCGGATGTCATAGTCTTTCACCTACTGCCTACATGACTTATTCACTTGTTAAAAGAATCTTATTTAAGTTTATAATGAATGTCCAATCCAATTAAAAATATATTCATCCTATCTTTAACTGACGGAAATCAAAGTACAGATAAAAAAAAGAATTTGATCAAAACATATCTATATCACAAATTTTTATTCATGAAAATTAAATTAAGATGGATTCAACTGAATTTATATTGACATTCTATTGATTTTTCTTTCAAGAGAAAATACAAATAATAATAATAATAATAATAAGTATTTCTATATTGATTTTATTAATTCTATATTCTATCTTATCAAATTATGACCTAGCTTTTTTTTATTCTTCATCTAACATCACAACTATAAAATCTATTTTTGTATGCATCATTTAATAAGAATTATTTCCTTATCTTTTTTTTTTATTATCGTAAATTGATCATCTGATGATTACATGGCAAATCTATGCTCCATTAGTAGGAAAACCATAGATAAATAACATATTCAACCAAATAGAAGCGCTTTTAAACTATAAAAAATCTATATATAAACAATTGCACACATTTTATCTTTGCATCATTTATAACTTTTCTATTGTTAACATTCGGAAAAAAAAAATGGAAAAAAATTTATTTTAATCGATCTGAGTCATCAATTCAAAAATAATATCTTATATAAGATCAATTTATTTATTTTAATTAAAGAAATTAACCTTATATGAAATCAATTACACGAACATCATCTTATTCAAATATATTGTTTTATAGAATATTTTGTTTTATATCAGAAAAATAATATATAAGGAAAAAAAAAACATTCATTTTATCACTTAAGAAATTATTTATTTATTGGAAATTTTAAGACATAAACATTAAAGTAATTACATCGAGCTAATATTAAATATTAATTATTTTACAATTATAAAAAAAAAACATGAAACTTTACCTGATCATTTTAATCAATTTCTATTTGAGACTTTTCTATATTTGATATTCGCTTTTTTACTAATAACAGGTTTATCGTTTCATATTAGAACAACTTGGTTAAAACAAACTATATTATCAATAAAGAAAAAAGTCTTGAAAGAAAGGACGAATATTCCAAATTTATGCAAATTCAAATGAAAACAAAATGTTGAATTATATTATACAATTAGACATGTCAAGTTTAACTGTTCGACTTAATAAAAATAAATGACATATTTGCTAAAAATAATTACTAGAAAAGTCATTTTATATCTGATGAAAGAAATTTCTCAACTGAATAATCATTTTTCAGCCAATACTATGTCTGTCACATAGATTGTAAGGAATTATGAATGCCCACAAAAGAATGCAAACTCTTTGTTTATGTCTGCAAAGATACTGCATTTTTATGGTATTTTTTAAGTAAATCTTGTGCTCTTCATTCTCAGAAACATTAACAAATTTCATTTTCAAACTTTGCACAAAGACAAAAAACTTAACAAGAAATGAATTTTTTTTTGTTTTTTCTATCCTAAGATACAACTATGGTAAAAACATGTCTTTTAATATCGTTAATATTTACTGTCAAAGTCGATGTTCTTATTTCACAATAGAAATATATCAAAAGATTTTCAAACTTTCACAATAAACTATTTTCGTTAATGTTTATTTCTATGCAAAGTTTCATGTTGAAAGTCAGTCTTTTTGAAGGTGACTATGACATTAACTTAAAAAGTATCGTCAAAGTACAGTATCTCCATTAGAAATAAGTTAAAGGCTTGAATTCTTTTAAGAATATTCATAACTCATTAAGACTTATATAATATGTAATAGTCTTGACTAAAAATTGATGATTTACCTGAGAAACTTCTCTGGCTGTATGAATATATTAATATTAATATAAATATAAATTGATCATACTCGAATTAAAATTAAGTACCAAGAAGTTTGATCTTATTAAAATAATTAAAAAAAAGCAAACAATTGTGCAATCAGTGACTTACATTTGGTTTTTTTTCTCCCTTTAGATAGAAATATGTTGCTTACACCGGACCATTTCCGTCTAGGAAAAAAAATAACATCACCTTATTAACGAGATTGTTTTCATTCATAAATTTTAATTTTCTTGATTTTACTTTTTCTCTATAAGCATAGTCGATTACAAAAGATCAATCTATTCAAATTTATAAAGTATAATGTTCGAAAAAATAAATTACAAAATAATTTTTACATGATTCTTGTTTAGCATTACTTAGAATATCTCAACTAACATGAAGAAAAATATTTTTTTGAATAAATAGGATTTATTCATGAAATAGTAATTCAGTTTTACTCATGAAGATACTACTCCAAGTGACACCCGCCCTTTGAGATTATATTGAGCCCACAGACAGGCCTCATTGAGAATAGCAAAAACCTAAAAAAGATTCGTTTCCATTGCTCTTCGACGTTGAGTTGTGATCAGTGTAATGGATTTTTTCCCCGTTTTTAGGCACTTCTCAGAAGATAGAATAACGGAGTTTTGATCCAAAATTTTTCTTATATATAGGTCTAATAATTCTTAGAATATCCTGAAAGTTTCAGCTGAAAAGAATGTTCCTTTCTCAAGATATTGAATTACAAATGAATCGAAAATTTACTAAACTGATCATAACTCGACGACAAAATCTCCTAGGAATGAACACTTTTAAGCTTTTGCTACACTCGTTGTGATCTGCCTGTGAGTCCCATATGAGCTTAAATAATGGGTGTCACTTGGGATTATTTTCTCATAAGTTATTAGGTCGTATTACTAGTAGAATCCGATTTTGATGCGCCTTAAAATAAATTCAAAAATATTTTCCATTTGAAATTATAATTATTTATGAACACAAACTATTCTCGATCTATGTTTTGACGAAGTTAGAACTAAAAATAATTGATCTTGATTCGTGAATAATTGAACGTTCAACACAAAGGATATTAGCATATTAAATAAGTCGCTGTTTAGAAACAAAGTTTTCAAATTTATAGATAATGATAAACAATTATTTAAAGTTTAATATGGATTTAATTTTGGCTAAGTTGTCAGTCATACCTGAATTTCTTTTTGAACAAGATGAAGAAAAGACTGATCGCACTCATATCTAATTATACGTTTTCACATAGATATAAAGATATTTGAGAAAAAAAAAACCCAATTGAAGAATTTCAAGTTGAGATTTCGTTCATAAAATTCATCTTCTTCTCTTCGATATATTTTAAGTAAACGAAATATCACTTGTTTGTGACACTAAAGATGGCAACTTCTAGATGTGAACTTTATAAATTTTTTAAAATTTGATGACAGTCAGCTTTGATTGATATGTCTGACGAGAGAATGTTTCTCAGTGTCTGATCGCTTATTGATCAAGATTATATTCAAATGCGAAACCAAGGTGAGTAGTGTAAAAGTCAAGGAGGATTCATCTTGTGATACTGAATTTCTTAAAATAAAGTTGTGGTCCCCTTCAGATCACCATAAGAATCGAATTTCGAGTTTCGACATGAAACTTTACACAAATGAAGCTAGTTCAGATTGTCGAATCTCCTACTTTGATCTATGAATATTGAAAAACTTTCAGATAAAAAAAGGCAATCATTCTTCTTACACTGATACCAAATACTTAAATCAATGATATTTTGCCGATGAGCTAATGTCATTGAGAGATTCATTTGTAGTAGCGACGCCAGACTACTAGCGTCCTTCTTGTTTTGGGTAGGCAGTAGAAGGTGGCACTCTCAATACGTGCGCCTTGTAATCAAGAGTACACATTGTCATTATAGTAGAAGGACCTTCCACTGCCCTTAGTAAAAGAAGAGAGGAGCTTATGTTCTAGTTTTGCCATTAGCGGCTATGCTATTGATTTGTATCCTAGAGAGCACGACATACGTAGAGACGGCATCACCTTCTACTGTCCACCAAAAACAAGAGGGGTACTAATAGTCTGACACCGCTGCTATTCATTTGTGTCAAGCTCTAAAATCAAAATTTGAAATCCGATTTTGATGAAATCTGAGGAAGTAAGCGTTCATTCGATTATGGGCGCGCCCAGGAGGTGCACAGGATGCCCGAGCACCTCTCTCCCTTAGCAAAAAAACGCCCGGAGGGCATACGAGTAAAAAATCTTTTTGAGAAACAAAAATTTATTTTGCTGTTGGTGTGCATCCCCATAATGAATCGGGCACTAGTTTTGTGTATTTGATGGGTAGCGTATCCTGTACATTTGTCAGACGAGAAGAGTTCATCGGGATCAACCTGCATGGTCTCTACTGAAGTGAGGCACAATTTTCTTGTAAAAAACTCGATATCTCAAGAACAACGGGTCAAACAGCGAAACTCTCTTATATTTTTATATTAGCCACTATAGTCTCTCACTTAAATAAAGTTTCGATGAAAAAAAAAACAATCGAACACTTGAGTATATTCCCTAAAGAATAATATTGAACATAATAATTGATATGATTATTTTATAATTTGAAATAAATATTGAGTTTAAAATCTTTTTTTATTTATTTTTCAATAAAATATCTTGTTTTGTTTAACAATCTAGGATAAATACGAAAACACAAGAAAAATCTGTTTAAATCAATATCGATAGAATATTAAAGCGAGATTAATATGAAATAAGCATGAATAAACACAAAATAAAATATTTCTTTTTTTTTTTCATTCTTATTGTTTAATAATTGTATGTGTTAATTAATGAGATTCTGATGTTCTGCTCGTATTTGTTGCAGTATGTGAAGAAACACTAGGTGATGGTGTATGATTTTCTCCTGTTGCAATAGATTTTGTTGTTATAATCTAAAGAAAAAATAAATAAATAAAATAAAAATAAAAAATAAAAATTCGAACTGTTTGAGTTGTTGATTGAAGTCTTCGTTGTGCATCTTCAGCAACAAGTTCAGCAACTTGTTCGGTAATTTGATCAATTTGTTGATTAGCTCTAGCTTGTGCTTCTTTAAAAATAGCCATTTTTTTTTCATTAGCCGTATTTTGTATAATATCAATATCTTGTTTTGCTTTAGTTAAAATAGCTTCTTGACGTTCATTTAATGATCGTTCAAGTTCAGCTAATAAAACAGCTTTTTCAGTATCTAATTGAGCAAGACGTTCTTGTAAATGTTGTTTATATTCATCTTCAATTGTATTTGAACGTTCTTTTGCATCAGTTAATAATTTTTGTTGTTGAGCTGCTGTATCAGCAACAACTTTTTCAACTGCATTTGATACAGCTTCACTTATTTCAGCAGTACGTTTTTTAGAATATTCATCTATTTGATTATGTGTTGTACCTTTAGATTTAAAAGATATTTTATTTATTTTCATATATATATATTAGAAAAAAATATAAAAATTTACCAAGTTTATTCATAAGATCAGTTATTTTTTTTGAATTTTTAATATTAACATTTGAATTTGTTTCTGTTGATACAACTGATTGCACATGAACATCTTCACTAATTGCTGTATGAACAATAGATGAATTTGATGATGAATCAGGAATTGGATTTGTTGCTGTTGTTGTTGTTGTTGTTGTTGTTGTTTCGGTTTTTTCATTATGTTTTTTATCATCTTTATCTTTATGATGTCCAAATAATGCATTTATTATACCAGACATTTTTACCTTTTATTTCAAATTTTAATTAAAAATAACTAAAATAAATCAAAATAATTATAAGTTCAACTAGTAAAAATATTGTTTTTTTGTTTCTTCTATATAGTTTTAAATTATAATAAGCAAAGAAAAAAAAAACATTTTGACCAACGCATTTGGTAGAAAGAACGGATGAATGAATGAATAGAAATTGTTCTCGTTGTCGTTTGCTGAAAATAGACGATGTGTTTTTCTTCCTTTTATTCTTCTGCATCGTGTTTCAACGGCTATTCTTCTTTTTTTTTCCTTCATTTCTGCTTATCGATTCTAAAAGAAAAAGAATGAATACCATTTTGAATGACTACATGACGACTGCCTTTTTTCCTCTTTAATGAAAAATATTCTCACAGAGTATTTCCAAATCACGTGGAAACTTTTATAACATATTTTGGACTCTTTCTCACCACCTTATCATGAGTGACAAATCTCACAATCCTCTTTATAATCACATAATCTCAAATCGATCCTTCATCTACGATCAATAATTCGTTTTAGTCTGAAAATATCCATATTTTTTTATGAAAAATCATTATTATTATTATTTGTCAATAAAGTGTACGCACTACACCAGGTTGACAACAACATCATCCTGGAACTCTTTAATGCTCTCATCTTCATTCTATGATGTTCTTCACTGTCAATCAGATCAATTAATTGAAGAGTATTCTTGGCCTGAATAAGAATCAAGATATGGTATACAAAGCAAACAATATATATGAGTGAGTTGTAACTTTTTGGTATCATTGACCTTTTAGCTGTATTTGGCTAATAACCTCTGTATCTCTCGACCGATTCGGACAATCTATATATATATTGTTCAGAGTGTGTGTGTGCCTATCTGTGCCGAGTCAAAGGTTAAAGTTCAATGGTTAAATGTTAAAAGCCAAAGGTCAAATAAGGCTATAAACGGAAGGTGCTAAGGGCTACTATATTGGGAACCCATAGGTCCTCAAGAGCTATTATATGGGGGATACTCAAAGGTTCTCAAGGGCTATTATATGGGAGTACCCATAGGTACTCAAGGGCTATAAAGTCATAAGGGAGTTGGGGATAAAGATATAAGGGTAAAGGGGATAAGAGACTAAGGCTACAGGGGCATGAGGGATAAAACTAAAAGAGTATAAGGAGATAAGGGTATAGGAGATAAGTCGATAAGGCTGCATGGGATATAAGGGATAAGGGAATAACGGAATAAGGCTATAAGAGGTTATACCACAAGACTATAAGGCTACAATGCGGTAAGACTACGAAGGTATAAGGTTATAAGATCTCTCTCTATATATAATGCGAACTGTCTAATTGTCTATTACCGAATCAAGGCTAAAGGACAGACATGAAACTTGACAGGAAAAAAGTATTCGTGCAGTGTGTACGGGCTCTCGCTATCTTTTTAATATGTCATTCCTCTTTGTATGCCTCATCGCCACACAAAATTTCAGCTCTATAGTTCATACCATCGCCGAGTTACGAGAGATATTTAGCAAAAAAAACGTTAGTTTTTGCTGACATGTGAAAAGAAAAAGGAATTTTTCAACTATATAAAAGCAAGAGGAGAAGTATGTAATTAGGCTGTTTTCATTCATATGGTCACTGAAAGTCGTTTACAATCGATTCTAACCATTAGTGTTGTTTCGACTAAAAATGTATCGTTGCAATCACAATCTCATTTCGATTATGACAAAGCAACAACACGATAGCTTCATCCATATGTCCAATTAGACTATTTTGTAGAGCATTCGATGCTCTATGAAAATATGTCATCGGCTTAAATTTTATATAATTGTTCTCTTCTTCGTCCAACGTTCAGATTGTTTGATAGATACTTTAGATTTTTGTATAGAGTGGTGAAAACTTGATTATAGCTTTGACAGTGATAAAGCTGGTAGTGCGCAGACTGTACGAAAAGAAAGACAATTCTTTAATGAACAAATTTATGAGGAAAAAACTCGGTGTTATCATCTTTGTTTCTGGATAAAAATAATGAGACTTTATGAAAAAAGGCTGTTATACTCAATTTGTAGAGTGACGACGATTTGAAATTTGGTTGCTTTAGAACTCTTCAATATGTGGTTCGATTTGACTCAAATTTTCACTGTAGATGTAAAAGAAAAAGTCTTTTTCTGACTTCCTATCTTTTGTACAGACCTGAAAAATGACTATGAGTAAAAGTAATTTTATTGTTGAATTTAGCAGAAATAAAATTGTACAACGTGTATTTCTCTTTATGATCAGTGAAACGATGGGGAATTTTTGTCCTTAATATATGCACAGAGTATAATAAAACGTGCTACTCAAAAATTGTTTAGGTTCACTTTCATTCCTTCATGTCGATCGTACGAAAAAGTTGCAATTCACTCCTATTTATCTCACAACATTAACCTAGGAAAATTCCTAATCAAAACTAGTTTTTGCCATTTCTTGAGAAGCTTGATTATTATTGCTTTTATGTCTTATAAGTTAATATCTCTAATATTTTTACAGAAGTGAAGAGATTTCATTTTTTGAATTTGTCACAAGATCAAATTGTCCATGAACTCGTATCATCGTGTTCTTCTCTACGTTTAGTTTTATATAACGCTTGAAACGGTGGCTGTCTAATAAAATTCTATAGAAACTGAAAATCAAAGAGATTCTGCTAGTCTTATCTTTCAATTTTATTAGAAGCTTAACTTGTTGATATGTTCTGGCAAAATCGGTATCGAAAAACAATTTTTGGATAGAAATTAAAGAAAATTGACTAGAAAATGGGACTTTTCCAATGTAAATAGTTAATTTATTAAAAATAAGTGTAAGGTAGTATTGATGAGGTGATTACTCGTCTGACACTTTTCTTCAAATGAATGACGTGAATTTCAAACAGTTTATTATCCATCCTCACATTGATAGATAGACGAGCGAACAGTGTAACTCAAAGTGACCTCTAACAGAAAAGTCAAAAAGCTTTATTTAATATGAAGAAGATGAAAAAATCAATTATTCTCCTGTGACAAGATACAGAAAGAAAAAGAATATTTTTTTATATGATCCAAAAAAAAAGAATAGTTGAGGATGGAAGTTCTTTCGCAACGGATTATTTATTAGTGTCAAGCAATCGGAAAATTGTCTTATATTTCATACATGTAATTAGATTGATCGACAGAAAAACAAATTGTTCATTTTTCGTCATTCTTCATTGTATTGTGCAAAAAAAAAACAATGAAATGTCTTCTATTATAAATAAACGAAATAGACTTGTTGACCTATTTTGAATGCATCAGATGTTTATTATTTCTTCTATAGAATTTTTAATGAAATATTATTTATTATAGATGTATGGTAATTTATTTGTATATGATTCAAAATCAAATTTAGTTGCATTTGAATCTGGTTCATTATCATCATCTCGATGTTTAATACTTATTGGTGGTCTTACAGATGGTCTTTTATCACTTCCTTATGTTGAAAAACTTTCATCAAAACTTGAATCTCTTTCAAAACCATATTCATTGATTCAACCATTATTTCGTTCATCAAATCTTCAATATGGTTGGCATACAATTGATGATGATATTCAAGATTTAAATATTTTAATTGATTATTTAATTAATAATCGAAATCATTTACTATCAATTATACTTATGGGACATTCAACTGGTTGTCAAGATATTATTCATTATCTTCGTCAACATAAAAAACATCCTAAAATTCATCGAGTTATTCTTCAAGGACCTGTTAGTGATAGACAATATTTATCGACACTTTCATCAACAAAAGATCAATTAGATTATTGTTTAAATCATTTAGAAAATAAAAAAGAATGGTTACCAAGATATCTTCATGATCCACCATTAACTATTGAACGTTGTTTATCATTAAATCAAGAAAATTCAATAGAAGATCTTTTTTCAAGTGATTTAAGGGATGAACAATTAAAAAATATTTATGAAAATATTGAAACACCAATAACATGGATTTGGTCAAAACAAGATGAATATGTTCCTGATAATATTAAAGATCAAGTGGAAAATTTTGTTAAAAATAAATTAGCAAATAAAACGGATTCAACATTTCTCTTACTTGAAAAAGCTGATCATGTTGTTAATGATCAACAAGAACAAATTTATTTGATTGAACATATTATTCAACTTATTCTATCTTCTGACATTTAATTATTCAGAACTCAAAAAAAAAACAAAATATATATTCATTTCTCTTTTTCTTTCAATCAATCAACAACTTCTATATCTCAACAGAAATAATTTATTATTTATAGACTTTCTTTCGCTATTAACAGCGATCATTTTTGATTACTTTCTCGGACAATCACATATTTACTAATCGAATCTAGAAAAGAATGAAGATGTTTCATTTATATGAAACTTTTCTATGATCTATTTTGTAATAATCTTCTTCTAATAACTAGTTATGGGTGATCTGTTGTTTTTTCTCTCTGATAATTAAATTGTGAATTACAGGATAATTATTTTCATATGATCTATATTCATATATATGTGAACTTTAATAAATAATTATATTCATACAGACATTGTTTTACCTACAGTGTCTAATAATCAATCTTCGAGCTATTTCATCATTTCAATATTAAATCATATGTTGATATATCATCCTTAGAAAATTAATTTATGTTTTAGATATGAGTCGAAACTGTTTAAATGTGTTTAAGAGACTTTGACTTCACTTTTTAGCTCACCAAAGAATGTTTCTAAGTGTCAAATTGCTTTTGAGTCGCTCCTATGTGTATCATGTAGGTTATTATGAATTATGAATTCCCTTAAGAAAGTTCAAGATAATAGATTATTGACACCGAAATATTCTATTTTGGCTATGCTCAAATAAGAACATCAAAATTAACGGTTGGATATGAGCAGCGTAAAAAACATGTGTTTACCATAGCTGTATGTTAGAAGAGCAGCAATCAATAGATCGGAATATTTTAAAATAAACTATTCTTATTAAAGTCTATC